ACCACCACCACCACCACCAGCCCCAACACCACTGTCATTGTCCATCATCGTCAGTAGCATCATCACCACTACGCGACCATCACTACTGTATTACCAGCACGATCATCATCATCGCTTCATGCTGGCGGGCGGCTAGAAGAGCAACGGCACGACTACTGCTCAAGCATAGTCATAAGAGGCGTGTTTGGCATCAGTGCAGGGGTAAATAGTAGAAGGACGAGGAGGACAACCACCGCGGCTGCTATACTGTGCTGCACTGTGCTGGTGATGAGGGTGATGGAGTGAAGACACCAGCACCTAAGGCCTTGGACGCTTACGTCAAAGACTGGAAGGCCAAAGTCGAACGCTTCGGCCCCGAGGTGGTTCGAGAGCAGGCGCATTCGTGTCGAAACGTGCAGCTGAAAGCTGGGTCCGCTTGGAACGTGCGATGTATCTAAGTGATGACTGCACAGCCCGTGCCCAGAGCAATCTCGCGCCGTCGAGACCCTAGGGGACTAGACGTGCGAGCCCAGCAGTTGTGCAGGTCACTCTGGAGGTGTCTTGGCTGCCGTTGAAAATTCATAGTAATTCGATCTATGCAGCTTACGTCGCACATCGTGACGCTGCATTGATGCATCGGAAGTGAGCTCGTGCTCGGACAGCAAGGACAGGCTTCTTCCTCTCAATCCGGGGCTGTGAGCAACTGAGGCACAAACTTCGTCTTGCAATCAGGCAGCAAAGGCTGCCGCGGCGGCCATAGACTTCCCCTCAGCTCACCAGGATCTTCTGCCGGCCTTTCTCGCTCTTCATAGGGTTTAGGATTTGGTCGTGCTTGTGTAAGTTACTTTGTCAGCTGTTGGGATGGTTCTTGATGTCGGCTGCGCCGATAACTTGCGGATATTGTTGGTCGAGGCTTCGGGTAGCAGAGCTACAACTTTTCGTGTCGGCCGTTGCCTACGAGGCGTGAGTTTTGGACAAGCGCGACAAAGCGCATGGCTGCCTAAGTCTTTTGCTAACCTTCGTTCTGTCTGCATGCTTCGCACTGGGCTTCGAAAAGCCATTCTAACTTCTTGAATTCCAAGGCTCTGCCCTAAACCAATCGTGGGAGCTTGTGCCAGGCTATTGATTCGCATGTCCAATGCAGCCTTGAATCCGGAACTGTAATATCTCAAATAATTCCGTTTCGCACTGCGACTCAGCTAATTCGGGTGGCAAGAAAATGAACCCGCTTCCGCTCCGGAACTACCAAGGCAGAGGCTCAGCGCAAGGCAGATTCGCATCGGCGCATGAGCACAGCTGCCGCATCCCTAGTCCAAAGATGCGCTTCGGCTCCGGGTCGCTGCGTTTCCTGTGGAGCTCTGGGATCTCTAGACCTGTGTAGGGCTTCGGTTTAACATTCTGTGTTCAGTTTTGAAGGTTTCACTTGGGACTTGCGCCTCTTCAGAGCTTGGCAGAGCTCAGAGCTCGCACATGGCAGAGCCGGAATCTTACAGACCGGATATCGCAAGTAATGTGGGACATTGGCAGGTTGCAGGGGCCATCTGCATGAAAACCAAGACTTGGTAAATTGTGTTGGGGCAGGAGGCATTAGTCACAAACTCGGAGCTGGCTGCCTTTTGGGGCAACAGCGAGTGTTTGGCGGTCTTCACAGACAACCTTCTTTCTGTGAGAAATCTCAGAGAAATCTCGGCATTCGCGCTTGGGCTTCCTCAGCTTCTTCCCTCGAGAGTCTCTCCCGAGCCGTTTTTCTTCTGGATTTCTGTTGGTGCTGCATTCATCTGCGGTCATGCTTTTCCTTGGCCTCGTGAATCGTGATTTGACAAGCTTCGGGCTTTTGTCGGTCTTGTGCTCTGGCAGCTCTTAGTTTCGAGGCACAGCACCTCCCCAGATCGCCAACGGAGAAGGTGGGGTGCGTGCGGACCTGTAGATGCCACGCCCGACTGTCGATATCAACGGTGGAAGTGGCTGGCAATGCCTCTTAGGCCTTAGACAATGCCTTTAGCATTTGGCAGTTCGCGTTCTACCTGCACTGCCACGTTCGATTCATGCCGTCTGTCTCAAAGAAGGTTTGGAGAGCAACGGTAGTCGCTTTACTAGAGCACGCTGCCCGGAAAGTGCCCAAAGTAACTGCATGCAGATCAGTGGACAAGCCGTGAGAGATGAAGAACGGAAATGGACATTAAGTTGTAGCTCACCCAGCCGCAGTTTTTCTCCCCCGCCTAACACGCACGAAGTCGTGAAGGAGCCATGCGTTCGCACTGAGACCTTACAATCGGCGGCAACGCTGAGGAATGGTCGACGACACGAAGCCTCCATGGCATTATGACCTTGAAGACGGCGATGCCATACCCGTGGGAGACCGCTTGATTCGCGTGACGGACATTTGCTTCACTCAGAAGGATGTCAATGACAGTTTCTCCGATTCGAGACGCCCGATCATGGAGTTGATATCCGATCTGCTGGAGGGGCGCAAGCACCCACGTGAGGTGCCCCGAATTCGGGTGGCCTTTGCAGGCGGCTCCTTTGGAAAGTTCTTCTATTCAGCTGACAACAGGCGCCTCTTTGCTTTCAAGCACTGCAACATTGACTGGGCTCCTGTCAGGGTACTTCGCTGGGAGAAGCAGCACGAGTTTGAGATGAAAGCCAAGAACGGAGAAGCTGTTCGAGCAGAGGGCGGTGGTCATCTTGCCGGGATGGTGCAACGATTAGCTGACCAGCCCCTTCCGCGAAGCCCTGTGATGCTCGAAGCAAGAACTAAAATTAGTCTTTATATGGACGATGAGACCCAGAGGCTGCATGATGAGCTGCGACAAGCAGCAAAACGACGATTCTTGAAGGAGAGCCAGAATCGAGAATACCTCGCCGACTGCATTGGGAAGCAATGGATGTTCGTTGTACAAATCCAGGACCAGATGATGCCAGCAACTTTGGTGAAGGCAACGCCAGACGGTACTTTCGAAGCTTGCATCTGGAATGGTGAGGACACGGTCTTCCACCCATGCCTGCTGCCAAGTAGCATATGGCTCAACAGTGAGGTGCCCGTCCCACGGCAGCTGTCTGTGCAAGATCTGGCATGCTCAAGCTTCATCGTTCCAAGCGACTTGAATGCCAAGTTGCCCAACCCATGGTGCGCAATTTGCAGCAAGCGTGTCGGGTCATCTTCGAAGGATGTGAAGAGGCACGAGAGGGGCCACCCGGGCGCTTTCAGGTGCTTGGACTGTCCAAAGCAGTGCGACTGCAGCGAAGACTTGCGACGCCATTCCCGGAAGATGTCCCACCGAATCCCAATAATGCCACTAGCTCAGAGCAGAATCGCAAGGCGGTTTCATGCTTCAGTGTTTCGGAGCGATTTCCAATGAATTGGAAGTGCATGACGAACTGATTTGAGGGGGAATGCTCAGCATGTGGCTGCAAGATCACAGTTGAATTAGTTTCAAGGGCCTTTGAGCTCGTAAGATTTCGCCTCGCAGGGCTATGGGCCTTCGTTTTTTGTTTTGCAAGCATCGCATGCATGCCTTGGTTCGCGCCAATAGTCCCGGCAAGGTTTTCCCAACAAGGTCGCAACTTACGGTGCCCTACGACCCATCGTCCTTGGCAACATGTTGATTTCTGCAGGCAGCGCACCTAGCAAGCTTTGTGTGTTTCCGTTTCTTTTCTGGAATTCAGGTTCTCTCCGAAAGACACGTACTTCTGCCGAATTGGTGCCGAAGCTGACAGCTCTGATGACTCGCAAGAACCAGGTGCGGCACGTGTCCTTAAGAGAAGGTCCAACTACCTCGATATGCAAGTTTCCCACGGCCGTGCGAAAGTTGAAGCAATGAATTGACTGGATGCCCCAGGTCCGACATCTGCATCAAGCCATGGTGAGCCGCTGCCTGGCACTTTCGTTGTGCCGAAGCAAAGCCGTTCTGGAAGCTTGGGCCCGTAGTTATTGGGGGATTTGGGATTGGACACGGTATGATGTTAGGGGTGTGGGGAAAAAATGGCTATGGCAGCTATGGGTTAACGTTTAAGAGAAAGCATCCGCCACAGCAAGGCCATGGGCCCTTGCACACATTCAGAGGGTTTCAATGCGCATGAGTTGCCAGCTGTTGAAGTTGTGAAGTGTCGTCCACCACTCTGATCAGGAACAGCCCAGGCGCACCCATTTTGCTTGGTGTGCGGTGAAGCGCTACCTGGACCCAAGCAGATGCGGCAGCACGAGAAAGCTGAACATCCGGGTCAGTACCGCTGTTCACGCTGCAGCTTGGCGCATTTCAGCAGCCTGTTCACACAAACGATTCTTAACGGCAAACGATGAACTTCCACAGACTGAGGTCAGAAAACATTCGACTGCACCCAGGATTTGAGACGACATTCGCGATCTACCTGCCATGAAATTCCAGAGATGTTTAAGCTAGCTGACGAGGGCGATGACACTTCGTTCGATGTCTAGCTGCTAGCTTTGTCCATCAAGCGGTCTCGCGATGCTGCGCAACTTTTAAAGTTCGGGTGATTGTCACGCATGCTGCTTTTGATCCGAAGGACCATACCCAACATGTTTGACAACCATGCAATTCCGTAGCCCGATTGGCCAAAGCGAGGTGCAGCAAAAGAGCAAGTGAACTGCCGGCCTTGGATAACTTAAATGAGAAGCCATGGTCGTAATGATGCCTTTATCATCATGGACGACAGTGTTTGGCAACCGTGACATGTTGTGAGTCCTCGTCGGAGTCTACCCATTACACGAGTTACGAAGAGCAGAAATTGAATTCCCCTCTGCTTGAAGCGAGTTTCCTCTCAACACTTGTAATTATCAAACAATCCTAGGGATGAACGGCGAGGGTGTGTGTGACCCCGCGACAGTAGGCTGACCGCAGTTGGTCTAAAGAGAGCTCCACGGGGTTCGTGATGCAGGCGAAACCTTTAGAATGAAGTTTGCCCTTGTCCCGGCCCTGCTCTGAAACCTTCAGATTGCAGGCGGAGCCCAAAAAGCAGATGTTCGCGCCGCCCCCGCAGTTCTGCCACGAGTTCGGAGGGTGGGTCAAGTGTAAATATGCTTCGGCCCTTTCCTTTGATATCTTTTCCCTCTCCCCAAGCTCTGTCTTTTCCGCCGCGATCCTTCGCGTCGAGGTGTGGTCCTGCATCCCGCCATCCCCTCACAGAACCGATTGTGGCTGCGCACACAAACGTCTTCTTATGTCTTTTCTCGGTAGACCGATGTCCAACCAAGATTTAAGACGGTCGCCAGGCGAACAGCCGCATCGCGGGCTGCCCCAAACTCATCCACTGCACAGAGCTCGGTGGGCGAGAGCTGTATTAAGGGAGCTCATTCGCTGTGTGGAAGGACAATTGGCACAGCAGCGGTACGTCAGCTTCGATTAGCCGCCACATCACTGACAGTACCAAATGCTTATAAGACCTTCGTTTAAACATGGAGGGAGGGTGCGTGATACATGCTGTTAATCTGGGCCAGGCTCTCGCTCGGTGTTGCTTAGGAAATGCGCGAGTTGTCACCTTGTTACACCCTGTTTAACAGGATTTTCGGACTTGTTTGGGCCCCTCCTGCGCCCCCGCACCCAGGCCTTGGCTCTCGGAAAGTTTGGTGTTGTGCAGGAAAAGTGTAAAAAACATGTAGTTAAGCAGCTTATACCATTTTATACCAATATCCCTTTGGAAACTGCATGTTTTATGTGCTTACAGAGGGGAGCCTTTCCTAGTTGGTTCGCATGTCTTCAGCCTGGTCAAGGATGCGGCCTCGGCCGAAATCAACGCATGTTATAAAACAAACTCGAAACCCTCTTAGCCGGAGCGCAACAAAGCAGAAGTGTTGGTTTGGATGCCTCAGAGCCGGCCTCCTAAGGCGGCGGACTTCAAGCAACAGTGTGGATCCAGTCTCAGTGTCTCTGACGACTTTGTCCCAGTTGGTATCCAAGATATGCATGGGGGGCTCTTTGCCTGGTCTCGGGAAGCCAACGGTCGGAGAGTTCGGAGCAACAGATGCTAGAGACTCGGACGCCGCGGAGGCACGGCGGACGACCACGCAGACAGGCAGTTTGCAGTGTGGGGTGCCTAGTTTGCCAACTTCTCCATTGGCTGAAATTCTTTGTGCATGTTGCCAATGCAACCTGTCATACGTTTGTTACATCACTATGCTCAAATTGTTTCAGTCGCTCCTCAAGCTGGCCCATCTGTTGTTGAGTTACGTTCCGGGCATATTTGTTGTTCCCACTCCTCCCAGTTTGGCAGGGCGTGACACAAACGGACGGTCATGCATAGACCCGAAGGAAGGCCTCTAGGATGCCCTCGCATTGGCGCACGAAGCTCCAGGCTCGATGCCACAGAGTCCGAGGACTTGCCTGCGACGCACAGAGAGGCAGGTCCCGAAGAGTTCACGGCTACTCTAAAGGCCAATTGAAGCGCAGGTGGCAAAGACAGGCGGCGCGGGTTTAATCTTTCCCGGTTGTGAGGGCCTGGTGATTTAATCGGGCAAGATGTTTGCAGATTTCAAGCTTGGACTTGAAGCCAGTGCTTCTGAATTCTCGGTGGTTGGGGGTTGAGGTACAGTAGTTGGCAATGCAATCCTGGTGGCCGAGCTGCAGAAACATCGGCACCTGCTGACCTGCAGAAGTCGAGATGTACAGCGGGTACCAGGAGCTTCGGAGAAGCTTCCGATGTCGGATCCACCCACCGTCCACATCTTGATTAGCAAGTCCTCAGAAAGTGCGGTGTTCAATCAGTCAGCAAGCCACCAAATATTACATCACGCAGTGATGGGGCTTGGGCAAACAGGAAGATGTGTGCAATCAATTGGGGACCCCCAGCCCATGTGTGGCAACAGCTACATCCTCGAGACGCGGCCCAGAGAATCTTAAGTTCTGGGGCGTTTCCACCTTGAAGTTACAGTTATCAAGATGTAAGAGTCCATAATGACATCCATTTTTGTCAATGCTTTCTACTTGTGCTTGTTACGATCCTGACTCCTTCTAGAAAGGTACCGACAACCATGACAGGCACAAAAAGACAGCATTTCACAAAGATTATCTGGAGCTTCTGGCGACAACATCAATCTGCAGGTCACAGCAAAGAAGGGCTTGAACTTGGCCGACCTGGGTGCCAATGTCGTGCGAGGCTTATTGCTATTGCTGTCCAGGTGTGTGGGAGCCGCTGTGGGGCTTTCAACATAGTAGTATTATATGATCTGCTACGGCATATCTTGTCTTACATCTTACAGTTAACAGAACTCGACCCAATTGGCCAGTTATGTAGAGGACAACAATGTAGTTGTTAGGAGCTCCGACGCAGTCGATTGGACATCATTTGGCTCAAGGAAAAAGGACTCCATCTTGTGTCTTTTTCCTTGTCTTAAGTGCATCTGTTGACAGCCTCAAGCTACATGGTCACTTTGGTAGGAAAGGCGAAGCCTCGCGACACCATAGTGCCCCTCCATACTTCCATACCCGCACGAGAGAAGCGTCATTCAGCAAACCAGGGCCGAAGTCCGCAAATACAGTCAGCAAGCAGGCAGCTGAGAGTCAGAATCCGCAGAGTTTCATGTCACAAACAGAGGGCGCGAAAGTCAAAGACAGGAGAGCCACAATTCAGCAAAACGCAGAGCTCCCAAATGCAAACCACGTGCAGCAAACACTTTGCAGTGCACCTGCTGCACTCATGGACATGGCATGCCCCTGGTCCAAGCCATTGGGTTTGGCATTTCTCGGAAGGACATTTGGATTAACGGAGTTCCGGCTAGTCCAGCCACCGTTGATCTGAAAGCCTTAACTTATGCTCTAAACCCCAAATTGGTCCCCATGCACGATGTACATGCCTTGCTTTGTTGCTGGACTTCCGCCTGGGCTGCTGCGGCTAGCGCCACTTCTGGTCGACCGTCAGTCAGGCCGGCCTGGAGGGAAGGCACTTTAAATTTGAAGAGAACGCATCAGTCGCAGTATGCACAACTACTGCCAGCATCCCTGTCTACGTGGCTTCAGCGGTTGAATGCGGTTGAGTGTTCTTGTTGCACAGAGCATTGTCGGCTCCTGCTCAGTACGTCTTTTCCTTAAATGCATGGCGGCATCATTGTTCGACGATGATCTTGAAAGCTTGCCGACTCCTCAGCCAGTCGCGACGGCTACGGTTGAGGTCAGCGATGATGGTGTTTTTCAAGCCACGGGGACGACAGGAAGTCAAGATGCAGGCGACAGCGACGCAGACACACGAGATCCAAATATACATGGGACCATGCATCCAGCGTAGCCCCGACGTGGCCAAGTCCTTTGGGCTTCCCGTCACAGGCTACGGGAGGAAGGACTTTGAAGATGGAAGCAATCATGCCAACACTCGCCATCCGCAGTTCATGTCCACGCATGCTGTGCATGACGGTTCCAATCCACCACATCCAGCACTGCAGCCCTGGGAAGTTACGGCGGGTCATGCCAGCTGTCAACACTTGCCGCCTCAGCTTCTGCAGACTTCAGGCCGCGGCTCGCGTCTGGTGCCGCAGGCTGGCCAAGCAGCAGCCCTTAACAGCCCTTGATGTCAGCAGTCGGCATCCGGCACCGGTTGACATGCACGCTGCACGTGACGGCCGGCCTTCGACGCCTCTGGTCATACGCCATCTGCAGTTCATGTCCACGCATGCTGTTCATGACGGTTCCAGTCCACCACATCCGCCCTGGGAAGTTACGGCGGGTCATG